TGTCATAGGAGAAGGCTATAACCCATTCATTTCTGTTAAAATGTGGACAGAAGTAAGCTAATGCTCAGGTAAAGGCACTGGTTTGCTGTATGGTTGCTATATGGTATCAACTCCTGCTAGTCATAGTCTTGTGATATCTCCAGACTCTAGACCTATGTTCTTTTTGAGGTACCTCTGTGTCTGAAATTCAGGAATTCTCAATAAGAAATTTCACAGAGAGGACATGCATAGTATCCACTGATGCTTCCTCTGAACACAACATCCTGACTGACAAATGACAACCATGGAACAGCCAGAGGGTAATCTACACAGCATACCTCATCATCATTACCAGGGAACACAGTGCCAAGCAATACTGCCTCACTCAAAGGAAGACGAATGCATACCTCTCTACGAGGACACATCCTTTACAAGATGTTACAGCCGTTCAGGCAGTGCATCATACATCATCCATCCTATGATTTATCGATGAATTTTTCACCTGCAGGCAACTGAGATGATTTGTGACCACTCAGATGCCTGGTAAATTACTTCCTTCCTTCTCTGCTCATACAAGACTGAAAAAGATGTTATCAGTTAGCATCAGTTCATTTAAGGTATCTCCTGATATTGTAGTTCCATTTCAAGTTCTCTAGTTTCCAATGTCTTCCCATTTGTCTTCCTATCCTCTGCTCCAATAATGGGTACTGTTGCTTTCCATCATATCAATCACGCCATGAGAAAGGCCATGAAAATGGAGGTTAACGTCGAATGTGCAATGTACGGACTTACACGACAGGTTGGGACGACAGGTGGGAAGATTTATGACTTCGACCTAGATGTGTATTGATTGGTACAGGAGTAAACTGCCCCTGCAGATCTGCCAAAGCCCAGACCTCAATATCCACTCAATCTAATGCACAGTTGACAGGAGATATACTGTAGTTGGAGGAGGGAGTAGATCTACCCAGGACCAATTGATTCGGCAAGGCAACTTCAGAGGACTTGTAAGTTCTGATGAAAACTATACACACTGCAATTACCTCATGTGCACCAGATAAAGGTGAATAATATTGCCTTTGGTTGCTGGTGCAATGTGCCTCGTCAATCATATGTAGCTTTAGTTATAAAACCTGTGTAATGTATTTAGCTCTTTTGAACCTCGGTAAAGGAAGATTTACCATTGAGTTGTGTCCTATTACCTGTTTGTGTTGCGATGTCAATACACCTCATTAAAATGACAGCCTTGGCCTGCAGATCAAAGGAAATATTTATAGACGATCTCCCAGGCATAGCAAATGGGTCAGGGCTGAATCAACCAATCAGAGGTCAGATAGGACTAAGGATGTGAGTGAACCATGTTACCAGCTAATGTGTATGTAATATGTGTGGAATATATATCATTACTACATGTATCAGAAAGATACCCACATTTCATCTAATACATCATCTGATACAATGTTTTTTTACAGTCTCTATAACACATAGTGACCTTGAATTAGTCCCATTTATGCATACATTTGCAGAAATGCCAACAACACTGTTTCTTGGCCATTACTTGTGATGAATCTTGGGAGACGTCCACATATTACTCAAAGTGCTTTTACAGCACACAGGGTACCTGCCATCTCTGAGACTGGCAATCTGAGCTAAGCTGGCTGGCGCCACGGCTGTCATCTTCATCTAAGTACCACATGATTCACAGGGGCAAATTTCTCTCTATTTTTTCAACATGCATTTTCTCCCCAAACATGAATGTACCTGTTTTAGTCTTGAGAGTCACACAAACTGATTGCCTTCCCCAGTCTTGTTTTGCAAACATTTACTAGCAACTTGCATTTTGATGTGTATAAGTGCTACATGAATAACATTGACATACAAATGTACGTGTGTACTGTACAGAATCTTGCTAACTCAATGATAGCACTATCATGATCACAAACGCAACTTTAGACCAAAGCCAATGCAAAATTTTTCCAGCTGATTAGGAAGACCCTTACAAAGATCACCTTCCATCACTAGGTGCATCACGTTTAATTTTGTGTCCCCTGGACTCTGAACAATGGATCATCCCCAATATCATATACCAATTCTCACTTCAATTGAGCATGCTGAAGTAACTGGAAGTGACTGGGTCAAGCCTACAGATGGATCTCTCTATCATTAGTCAACCTGACTGGAGTCCAGAGGAATAAGGCCTTCTAAAACTAATGTCATGTTTCTGAATACAGTTCTAAACATTGGTAATATGAAGACAGAAGCACAATATTACACATTGACTTCAAATACGGGGTATCATTTTTCTATTGCTAGAGAAAAAAGGAGATCATGTTGAAAAATGACTCTACAACATTTTCATAGTTAGATTGAAAATTCAATGTCCCTTCTTTGCTAGGCTAGTATAAGCAGGTTTTTGCCAAGGTTGGTCAGGTACCTGAAAACACAACATTTTTTTCCAAGGCCTGAGCTGGGCTTCAGCCTGGTAAATTTTAATCCCAGGAGCTGGGCAGAATCGATAAGGTAGGAGCTGGATCCTAACAAGAGTTGATGCCCAGGAAGGAGGCCTGGGAGCTAATTACATAAATCACCATCAGGAAAAGGTGGTGACCTTGTCAATTGTGTTAGGTCAGGACAAAGTGGGACATGATGTTTTTCTAAAATGGGTGTGGAAAACTATGACGACAAAAACCTTTCATCACTCCTATAAAAAGCATGAAGAGAGATTGAAAGCAACAAATACCAAATACTTGAATAAATATAACTCTGGAATACAATTGTTTATGTAATACTAGTTTTCCAGTTTGTCGAAGTCAAGTGGTTGACCAAAACCTACCACTGTATTTTTTTCTGTAATTAGTTACGCTCACGTAATAAATTACGCACCCAATTCACCAGGTGCTCAAATTTCGCAGTGGGACCACAGAGTGCATTACTGAATCAAAATCTGTATTGGAGTGATGATTTCATGGTGTAGAGGCCAGTGTGAAGAAATCCTACACACATACGTGTACAGGTAAAACCACTGCAAGTATTTCAGGAATCACGGCACCTGCTATCCCTCAACCAGTGATGCATTTGGCTGAGCCCACACCTGATCTGAATCAGCATGTGAGGCCCCATCCATCATGTGGGGGAGACACACTTGTTCTGCAGGGGTCAATGGAGCCCCTTGTCTCAGCTGACGTTGTCATCCCCATCTAGGTCGGCTCTTCCATTTTACATGCAGGGGGGGGGGCTTCGACATAGCATTTTGACCTGGTTTACATGGAGGGCGAGCTGCTGATTGTATGCCTGCGCTAGAGGTAATGTTCGAAAAATTGCGTACAAAAATTGTGTATGCAAATTGGGGCTGGTTTACAAGGAGGGAAAACCTTTGCATTCGCAAGGATTCTGCCCGTGTGTAAACCGGGTCTTTGTTGTGGCCCGGATAATCACACAAGTTCAGCAGGGTGCAGGGATATCTTTAACTGGCCCCATCTGTAACAAATCCTGACTACAATTTAAACGGCCTTTATGTACGGATTTACCATAAGACACCCTTAGTCCCCTGCATTTGAAGTGCATTTCATTTTGACCATGTATCATCTTATTGAGTCAGACTTAGAAAAAATGTTTGACTTTTAGTGGTAATTGAAAGCAAAATCAGCGTCACGAACCATGATTAACGAAACATAATATGGATATGGATAATATGTAAAGTATCTCTGTGGTGGCTGCCATGCAGGCACTTGATTGTATACAGAGTTATTTTTGGAACCAATTGCAATTTCTACCAGGAGGTCTCTGTTATTTGTGGCTATATACATGTATACCTATACATACAGGTAATATTATATCTTTCCTAATATCTGTTTTCTAAATTTTATCCTTTCAAAACAGTCCTAAATACTGAGAATAGCTAAGTAACAGATATACCATGAGTGGTTATAAATTCATCAAGTTACACACCAGTCAAATACATCTTGTATTTTCCATCTAAGATGCTTTTTCCATCTATGGAAGTAAAAAAAGTGTTTCTGGTACACCCCTTCACTCCCCTACGAATGAATGACTGAACCCTCCCAGCCCCACCCTTCCCTGCACCTGTACCCTACCCAGCAACTGCAAACAAACCTGACCCTTTCTTGTACAAAGTACACACCCGTTTGTTTGGCCACAATACATTCTCAACACTGGTGATGATCTCCACCAGCACAGCTTTCAAACATCTCACCATTGAAAAAAATAATTGACGTAGCTCATTTGTCTTCCATGAAGCAACTTGACTTAATTCTAACTCAAACGTATATGACGTTAATAGTTTTTAGACCACTTGAGGAATTGCATTTGCATTTGTTAGTCAGGGTTTTGCTGTGTGGAGTGTTTACTTAGTGCATCCATTCACCTGTGCTAAACAATGCGTTCAAATGGTCTTTGTGAACTGGTCAACCAAGACAGGGTCAAACACACCCAACTGACCACTGGTAAAACTAAAATAATCCTATATCCCATACAAACCTACATTTTGAATCTTTCCTTTATAGATAAGAGCAAAAGCAGACATGTGCCTTGTCAGCATTGTAACCCAAGGATAGGGAAAATTGGACAGAAAAAATTGTTTCTGAATTGACCATTCTTACAAAATGACCCCTGGATCTGGTTACATAGTACAGGTGGAATCAATGAGGTTGGTAAAATACAGTCTAAGTGTAAAGGCAATTAATGATTCATTCTTCATTGTGAAGAAAATAAAACACTTTTGTCTACATGAAGGTGACTAAATGAACTAATCATCATTCTACAACAGTGATGAAGTACAGAAGTTCTTCATCTGAATGAAGTACTAGTACATGAAGAAGTGACCACCTACGCTTCACCTTTTGTCAGGTAACTGATAACACGTGTGTTTACCCCTGTGCCTACATTATCTCACCAGATCAACCACAACAGTTTCTTTCTAGAAGCACAGGAGTCACAGTAGGTCACAGTTACACACCACACAATCAAAACCAGCCCCAGTTGCCTGAAGTACATTTGCTCACCTCTGAACCTTGATGGTTTCCCTCCTGCCACACAAACTCTCAGTAATGGTTCTGCCCTTCCTGCCTGTTCAAAGGCTGGCTGAAAACTGGGTCATTTCCACCATGCTGGGGACAAATACCTCTGGCACTGCCCCTTGGGTAAATATTTGCAGTGGACTTTGTGCCTGTTGGTCCAGTCAAGGTCCATCCTGTAAACAATTCCCTACCTGTGGCCTAAATTCCGAACATCCTCAGGAATCAGTTTGCAGGCATCGGTTTGCATGAGTCAGTTTTGCAGGCCATCTGAGGAGGCTACTCTCCCCAATAATGGTTACAGTCAATTCCAGGATCAGTTTTCAGCCACTAGATCAGGTAGCATGACTCAGAAACCACTGCAGCCTCCTTTGGTTTATCTGTAAATTTATCTTGGCATATTATCTCAAGCTTGGAAAACATCTGCTATTCTAGGCCCCAGGGTGTTACTGGATTAAAGACTGGATAGTCTCAAACATTGGACGTTTTTTTCACCATTGATATACATACTATAGAGAGACTGTTAATGATTATAATCTGCACATCCTTGAACTGTCTACAAAAATGAGCGTCACACCTAGTCTTCAGCTCTAAATAAGTTCTAACAAAACAGCAACCTCCACAAACCACTTACAACTCTAATCCACTTTATTTGGGTCAAGGTCAACAGTGTCCCTAAAATATGGGCTCAATTTTTCGGCCATGTAAATCTAATTTCATGGCAAATCAAGAGCATTCCCAGTGGTCGGAAGCTAATGTATTAAACCTACATGAGCACATACAGATTTCATTGTTTCCAAGGAACTGAAGCATTCAACATGTAAATAGCATCTACCTCCATGTGCAACAGTTTTACATGCTCCTGATGCTCCATTTCAAAAGTGCCACCTAGCTTTCACACCGGTATTGCATATAATGCTGCTTATGATGGAGCCACCTACTAATGGGCCCTCCCAAGCAAGCTTAGGGACAATCTTTACTTAGCTGGAGGCCAGTCTTTTTAGCCTGTGGCAAAGAAAGGGATAGGAGGGATAAATGTTCCCAAATACTGCATCTGGAGATGTCGACACGTGGCTTTTTAAAATGTCAGCCTGGATGATTTCTCACCTGAACAGTGTGAGTAGGTGTTCATCATCATCATCTCCGTTACTGCCTAGCCCTACCATGTAGGATTATTGGCAGTCGTTACGCATTGATTAGTTACAATTGTGACCCAGTACATAAAAACAAAGGTAAAACAAGGATAAATGAGAAGGGAACATAAGACAACTGATTTTGTGTGTGCTAAAGACGGGACAAGTGCATTAGTGCGTTAGTAATATTTACATATATACAAGACATGATGGGGTGGCTCAATGCAGCAGGGTCCTCGCCAGTTCAGATTTGAACTGGGCAAGAGACCCCGCCTCCGCCGCACCAGGTTCAAGTTCATTCCATTCCCTGATGGTGCGGGGGAAGAACGAGAGCCTGTAGAAGTTGGTTCTGCTCGCGATGGCCTGCCGTGGTGCTGAAATGCCATGGATAGATCAACTCATATTTAGGACAGTTTAGTTTTGGCTGCACAATCAATATTCAGGGTAGCTAAATGTAACATCAAGTATATACTTAGCCTGGTTACCAAACCTAGTACAGCTCCCGCCCGAGTCCTAAATCTGGAGAGAATGTAGGACTCGGAAGCTATAATAGGTATGGTAACCAGGCTAGTACATACTGTACACAGATACAGGTGCAAATAGAGTGGTACATGTACATTTGACAAAGTAACATGTTTTCTTCAATGATGACAGAAACATGAAGTACTAGTTACCAGACTCAAGGCATCTTAGCCTGGTTACCAAACCTATTATAGCTCCCGAGTCCTACGTCCTCTCTACAAATAGAGGGGGCTATAATAGGTTTGGTAACAAGACTAGGCATCCAATGCCTAGAACCCGTGGTGCTGATTTCAATATCCATACAAATTTGTTTTCATCTTTTCTCAGTGCTGAATTTTTAGACTAATATGACCTGATTCTGTCCATCAGATGATGTCATACTCCATCTCACATAAGTAACTTCTGTTCTGGGTATTAAAAGATCAATTTAAGATACACACACAAGTGAACATCTTCAATGAGACAAATATCAAAGCCTCATGCAGCCCCCACACACAGATCTCCTGACTGAGTGCATGGTCCCCTAGGCCACATGTGTGCTAATGTCACAGGGTCTTACGTGACTTGTCTATCAATTTTCCATGCTGACAGGTATGGGTCAACATTATTTACCCTGCCCTTAAATAACAGCTTCCTTATCTCTCACTTTGAAGACACTTATGGACTTTGGTTAGGGACTGCGTCTGCCTGAGCTCATTGAAGTTATAGATATTTTCTTATCTATACTTCATCATTTGTGAATTATAACTCTTACATGTATGTTATGACTTTACAGATCAACTTCCGCTGGTGTTTAAAAATCACCTGCTTACCTTGCATGTCACAAAATGCAAATTAGCTTCCGTGCCTCGGTCACTCCGTGTAAATATGATCTTCAAAACCTATTTAATAATGCACTGTAATCAACATGAATGCCAGTATACAAAAACAGAGAAGGTTATCATCTAAATTAATCAATAACCCAGGGCTTCAAGTACCCACCTGCAGCCTGCCATTTGCAGATAAAAATATAAAGGTGGTGTGCCAAAGCCACATGTCCCTAGTAGCTTGTGTAAATAATTCTACAATTCACAAAATTTTCTTAATTGTATGTTGAGTTTTTTTTACTTTTTAATTACTGGCTAACAGATATGTGGAGATATATGTGAAGAACAGATATTACCAAGCTTCCCTGGGTTATCTACAACTGCTATAATATTTAGGGTCCATAAAAATTGCATACAGTTATTTTCACAGAATTCTACATCTTTGAATGCTGGTTCCTTCCTTTACTTTGTAGCCTGAGTTACGAGTTAAAATAGCCAAGTCTGACCGTATATTTTAATCTGAATACATAATTCTTCAAGGCCTTGTTAGGCACTCAGATGGAAAGGATCACAATAATCTTGGAAAGGTCACAGTAGACATCATGGATGGCTAGATTCTGGGTTACAGCTAGAATAGCAGCTGAGGAGGGAGGGACAATGGCTGATTCAATAGCATTGTTCAAGGCTGTTAGAGCTGGGACACACAAGGTCACACAAACTAAAGAACATCATCAAGGGACCCCACATTTGATGCACAAATGGAATAACTCTGGTCGAAACAACAAAAAAAAGATGCCTCAGATTTCTTCCAGATGAAGTGATGACTAGCAAATCGTAACAAGAATGATCAGTACAAAAATCTGCAACTTTAAGGTCGACAATTGCTGATTATCACCTGGTGTTGGTGTATTTAAATCAAACTAATTCAAAGCTTAGGTATCCTTATTTGGACAACTTTAGTAAATGTCTCTGTGCCATGTCAGCATGTCTTCAACTCTACTGCACAATTCTTGTTTTCAGCCAACCTTGGAGAATGGTTAACTACAACTTGGATTGATCATTTGCTAGAATAGTAAAACAAAGAAGTCATACCCCATTACTTCTTCTGCCTTGTGTATTGTGACTATTGTTTCAGGGTAAATGTGCTGGAAAATCTAGTCAGATGAATATTCAGCATGCATGTAGTTATGATCGGCTACATTAACTGCACCCTGCAACAATGAAATTGTGCAGTTGGAAAAAAAAACGCTGACAGATAGCAGTAATCAACAACACACTACAAAAGTGGTTGACTCAGACTATATATAGTAATGTTATATATAGTCTGAATATACTATATTCACCCAAATGAATACAAGAAAGAAATGTAACAGCAGGAGCGGTCCTCTGTACTAGAGAAGCATAGAAATGAATGCTTTTTTCAGTGCTTTAATAGTACCCGGTATTGGTAGTACTACAAATACTATACTGTGGCTTGCCACACCTGCTGGATATTATCTCAAACCTCGAGATCAATACAGTAATGTTAATCACGACAGTGATAGCAAAATGCGCATACAAGTACAAAACTAAGTTTCCTGATAGATACTGCAGACATTAGCATGTGACTTGGAAGCTTTTCAGTTGAATATTTGCTTCAGTTTGAGTTTGAGTTTGTTGCAAATTGAGTTTATTTGATTTGAATCCAAAATGAGCATACATGGCATAGTTTCATCAAGGAGGTTTAAACCTCCGTGGTTTAATTATACCGGAGTTAGCATAGTTTGAGTCTTAGACTGATATGTCATCATTGACAATCTCAAGCTATTCCATTTTGAATGTGGAATTTACAATTTTATTTTAAGTCCTTTTTTATTAAAAAATACCACATGCTGCCGCTTGACCAATCAATTTATTCTAACTCCCCAATAAATAAAAACCCCTGGCCACGACTGGTAGCTGAGTCAACATTGTTGTAGCCCCAAATCATTTCAATAGTAGATTGAGCAAAAAAGCTATGATTTGGGTCACCATCCATACAGTCCTGTACTGAAGATGGTTAAAAGCAGGTAACGGAAGTACGTGTGGTGAGTGGCAGGCATTAGACAGAGAGAAGCACATTGCTTTAATGGACTGAACCCTGGCCGGCAAGACAAGTATTGATCTTAACATCACACAGCCTGGCATTCATCTGACTCAGGGCTGAATTACATGGAATGGCCAGAGGCAAATCTCATATGCATCAGGGATCTCCTGCATCCAATACCGCTATTGATTTTCAGGTCATTGAAATTCACCAGGCAAACTGGCATTTAGTGAACTACGTCCTTGTGATTTTATTACACCTACCACCAGCAACATTAAACCATGCATTATTGAACTGAATTCTGCGAAAAACTGTAAGGTATTTCTACATGCAGGTTGCAGAGTAATGTAATTATTCAGATGACTTTGAATACTGGTTCTCACCAAGTATTACTGCAGGATTTGTTTATGAAATTCTGGTCTTAATGATTTCCAATATATGCACTGTTGGCCTGGCCATCAGAGCCCTCTCACTCCTGTCATGGTAAGCAGCGCTTCAGCAGTCAAGAGGAGTCAATTCTTCTCAGGACTGATCCATTTTCACTGAAGCTAGCTGAAAAATAGAAACCATCCCCATGCAG